GTGTGTGTGTATTGCTCTGGATTGTACTGATAGGATCCCACAAGGTGGAAACTTTCAAACTTTTCATAACTCTGTTAATCAGATTAAATCTTTTGGGTCAGGCAGTTGAAAAAATGCAGTAGAATAAATCAGATTTCAGTTTTGCCCTGGCCTCATCCAGTCCCATTCCCATTGAAAAACCCATTGTAACCTGTTGCTTCTCCAAATTACACACGTCTGACTTGGATTGGCAAACACTTGCCATGCTTCTGTCTTTCCTTCTTTGGTGCATCTCTGGAGTGACACAATGGGGCTCTTGACCAGAGAGAGCTTTGGGACTATACAAGCAGTCCTTTATTTACGACCATAATTGAGCCCAAAATTTATGTTGTTAAGTGAGATGTTTGTTAAGTGAGTTTTGCCCCTTTTTATGACCTTTCTTGCCACAGATATTAAGTGAACCCCTGCCATTATTGTTAGTAACACAGTTGCTAAGTGAATCTGGTTCCTCTATTGATTTTGCTTATCAGAAGGTCACAAAAGGGGATCACGTGACCCCAGGACAGGGCAACCGTCATAAATATGAACCAGTTGCCAAGCATCTGAATTTTGACCACCTGACCATGGGGAGGCTGCAAGGGGTGCAAGTGTGAAAAACAGTTGTCGGTCACTTTTTTTGAGTGGCATTGTAACTTAGAACAATCACTAAATAAACTGTTGTAAGTTGAGGATTACTTGTACTTTTACAACAAATCCTTGATTTATGACCACAGTTGAGACCACACGTTTTGTTGCTATGCAAAAAGTTATTAAGTATGTTGTGCAAGATTTTATGAACTTTTTTACCACAGTTGTTAAATGAATCACTGCAGTTGTTAAGTGAATCACCTGGTTGTTGAGGGATTCTGGGCTCTTCATTGACTTTGCTTGCCAGAAAGATCACAAAAAGTCACCTTGGACGCTGCAACTTTCCTAAATACATGCCAATTGCCAAGTGCCTGGTTTCCGATCACATGACCATAGGGATGAGGACCAGTCATAAGTCACTTCTTTTTGCAAATAGCAAATTCAAATGATCACTAAGTGAATGGTAGTAAGTTAAGGACTGTTTTTCTTTAATTATAATGACTTTCTGTCCCAACAATTGTTTGATATATACATTTATACATTTTTTTTTAAAAAAATGCAGTGTGTTAGATGAATCTTTTATCTTCATGGAATTAATATATGTTCTGGGCTGACAGTATTTCCTTATCTACTATAGGTAGCCCTCAACTTACAACAGTTTATTTAGTGACTGTTCGAAGTTACAGCAGCACTGGAAAAAAGTGACCATTTTTATAGTTACAACCTTTGCATCACGTGATCAGAATTCAAATGCTTGGCAACTGACTCATATTTATGACGGTTGCAGCAACCCAGGGTCATGTGATAAATTTTTGTGACCACCTAACAAGTAAAGTCCATTGGGAAGCCTCATTCATTTAACAACCATGTTACTGACTTAACACCTGCAGTGATTCACTTAACAAATGTGGCAAGAAAAGTTGTAAAATGGGATTCAGTTAACTCAGTTAACAGTTGTCTCAGCCATAGAAATTTTGGTCTTAACTCAAGGACTATCTGTAGTGCCACTGTCACAATCCTGGCCTTGTGGCCACATCTCTCATGGCTCAGCCATTGCAAAGCATTGTAATACTTGTGGAATTTTTCCCCTTGTAACATGAGCCTGTTAAGATAAGAGGCTACATTTGTTCAACTAGATTTTGTTGTCTTTGGTGCTTCCTGGTGATAAAGTGGGAAAAACACACACTGAGACAGGCACGCACAGAGATAACAAATCACAATAAGCCCTTGTTCATGTTTTAAAGCCGGGCCAATTTATCATAACATGATCTCTCATGGACTGGATTCCCATGATCAGCTGTGTGCCATTCTGTCAGCAGTTGGCAGATGCAACATATTCATGAGTGCCAAGACAGAAGAATGTAAACAAAGGGGTCAGATGTCAGTTAAATACAACCAACAGGGCAATCATTGTTTGTTAAACTGAGGCTGGAATGTAGGCAAAGAAGTTGAGAAATTATCCACAACTGTAGCAAAGGATGACGGATTTTGGAGACATGCATACATATCTTTATTTTTATTTATTATAGCAATAGCACTTAGACTTATATACCACTTCACAGTGCTTTACATCCCTCTCTAAGCAATTTACAGAGTCAGCATATTGCCCCCAACAATTTGGGTCCTCATTTTACCCACCTCAGAAGGATGGAAGGCTGAGTCAACCTTGAGCTTGGTGGGATTCAATTTGCCAAACTGCTGGCAGCTGGTGATAAGCAGAAGTAGCCTGCAGTACTGCACTGTACTGTTTTATACACACACATACACACCATTGATTTGAGATTTGCATTGGACTGCAAATCTTGATGCATTTTAGATCATATATGTTTTCAGTTTAAGTCTTTTTAATCTTTACTGAGTTATTTGCACCCTGCAGTTGATTTATTGTGCTTTTAAAGTATGAAATAGAGTGCTCTGGGTTGTCTACAGATAAATGAAAACATAAATCCAAAGCAATATAACAATTATAATATGGGGTAAGAAAACTAAACTGCACAATAATAAAGACAGCCCAGTGAAATCAAGAGAAAGATTAAAAGCAACACAATGTAAAGAAACATGATAAAAACAGCTGCAACATAATACAGAGCCCAAAATGTTTAACAAATATTCTTGTAGATGATACAATGAAATCTTATTTATTTATTTATTAAGTTGACCACCATAAGCCAGCGAATTAGAAAAATAGTTTAAAAAGATTAACTGAATAACAGTGGCATAAGAAATTACTGTAAAAAGCAAAAAAGCAGAAAATAAAGGAGTAATAATCGAAGAAATAATCATAGTAAAAAAATTGCAGATCCAAGTATTTTTAAAATTTTTCAACTTCCCTAGGGTTTCTAGGAAAAGCACAGTTTCTTTGACTAGCTTTATTAAATTTTTAAAAAGCTAATGATCAAAAAAGCTAATGATCAAGAAAGAAATAGTAAAGAGGAGAGAAGAGAAAGAAAAAATAGGAAATAGAAGGTCAGTAAAATAAAAAATAAAAGGAAACAAAGTTACATAAAAAGTGACTTCTGACTCCTTTTACAACAGATAGAAATAAAACTTACAAAATAACAGAGTTGGGAGGGACCTTGTAGGTCTTCTAGTCCAACTCTTGCTCAAGCAGGAGATCTATACCATTTTAGACAAGTGGCTCCCTAGTCTCTTAGAATAGAGTAACAGAGTTGGTAGGGATCTTGGAGGTCTTCTAGTCCAACCCTCTGCCTAGGCAGGAAACCCTACAAAAAGGGCTCTTCCTTAAAAGCCTGCTGTGTTGGAGCCTGCATCACAATTTCTAGAGACAAGTTGTTCCACTGATTCTCACTGATGGGAAATTTCTCTTTATTTCTCGGTACCTTCTGTCCTTGATTAGTGAGTAGTATTGGTGAATGGTGTTATTGTAGGGAAAATAGGAGGAGGAAGGTGTGTTCTGTATGTTTGCCACCTTGAATTGTGAAGCTTATCAACTTATAAACCTTATCTTTTGACCTGCAGCAGGATAATGATGCAAGATGAAAATACCTTTTTGCATATCAACAATCTTGTTATCAGGGATCCTATTCCCATTTTTAAAAGAATCAAGATGCACCTTCTATAATTTGACCTTTATGTCAACATTTGACATTGGCCAAGTCAAGAAA